AATTACATTACAGATCATTGCATAATGCTCACATTGCATTTCTCACAAGTGTTTTTATATAAGACACACTGCACAGTGCACACGCATGTCACAATTTTAGTATGCAGTAGGTCACAGAACAGGTCACAATTCATGTTAAACATCCTTATAAGTCATAGGCTACACATACAATGGGTCACAATAGGTGTTTCACATAAAACACATATATGCAGAGGTCACAAAGAAGGTCATAGTCAAAGGTCACAGTCCAGGTCATATGTTACCGTACATGTCACAAATCCTTATGCATGTGTCACAGTTCATATTACCATTGAGTCGCATCATATTGATGTCGATTATATGACTTTACTAATTGTATATACTACTTACATCTTGATAGCATATGGACGTGTACTTCTACTACGTACGTNCGATTATATGACTTTACTAATTGTGTATCCTACTTACATCTTGATAGCATATGGACGTGTGCTTCTACTACGTACGTCAGTGAGCACGACATGGAAAAAATGTAAAGTTCATCGCCACCATGACTGACTCATTGTTTTAGGCCAAGCTCAAGAACATGTATCCGAGGATTAAACAGGATCCTAATGTTATTGTGACTGATGAAAGACTGATCAATGACATTACAGGTGCATGAATTCCATTGAGCACTCCATGGGCTGAATTGGACCATGTGTTTATGCCAATTCTGCCTACCAACAAAGCACATTGGATTGACATAAAGAAGCATACATTACTTATATTGAATTCGGCCAGGAAAACATACAATGATGCCAAGGTCTATACTGGAATTGAACCATTTATCAAAATGATTCCGCACCTCTTGAAATGTGTTGGAATATGGGAAGAAGATTCGAAGGAGTTGAAGCTGGATCTTGATTTTTCCCTTCCCCAACAGAAAAAATTGGTACATTTTTTACCACATCTTTACAATTTACCATACTAGTATATGATGGATCTCATACCTAATAAACTTATGCTTCTTCTTCAGACAAGATTGTGGCATATATGTGGTCAAATATGCGGAGTACATCCATGTCCATGAAGTTCGATGCGGGAAGAGCACGGCTAGATATAGCATCATTGTTGTTTAGATATCGGAAAATCAAGAAGGTCATAAAGAAGGTGCAACAAACTGGAGGAGAAAGCATTACTTTAGAGTGATAGTTCAATGTGGAGTCACAAGTTGTTATATATGGAAATACCAGATTTATTTGTAATGATTGAATCAATATGTGTATTCTCTTACGTTTTTCGTCCTACATTACATACAATCAGCGAATGAAAAAATAGAAAAATTATTTAAAAAATTAGGTCAATGTGTATTGTCCGTCTTTCTCCTTTTCTTTTCTTTATTCTTCGATTAGCTCTTACTTAACGGAACTAGGCTGCTGCACGTTCTGCGACTGTGACCACTTTCACCACACCGACCACATTTGACAGTTATACTCTCGCCATATGCTGATCTGAATCTCTTCTTAGTTGGCCTTCCACAACTACGCTTTTGATTACGTGCTAGTACAACTATGTCATTGATATCATCTGGCCATTCAACTGGATTCCCGATGGGAAAAATGGTTTCCTGGTAAGTGTTTCTATATGCTCCACTTGTATAGTAGTAAGAAAAATATTCATATGAATCCATCTTCATACTTGCAAACACAGCCAACGGGTGTGGACAAGGTAGTTTATCAACTTGAAGCATCCTACATGTGCATGTATGTTTCTCTATATCAACAGCGAAAGATGAAATTTCACCGCTAACTGAGAACGTTGTCTGATTAACGAGAGAAACCTGCAATTATTGATGCAAGTTATACACACAATAATTCATGTAAACAAATTGGGAGGACACGAATGCAAAGTGCATATTTCAAAATCAGATTGTACACATCACACAAACACCACAGTACAGGTCACAGCTAAAGTCACAGATGTTGAAAATGGTCACAGCTAAAGTCACAGATGTTGAAAATGGTCATAGCTCAAGTCACAGATTTTAAAAATGGTCACAACTAAAGTCACAGATGTTGAAAAAGGTCACAGAAATTTTATGAGGCAAATAAAAGAAGAATTTTCATATTTCGGTTTAGGTCACAGAGAAGATGTCGAAAGTTACAGATTATAATTTAGGTCACAGCAATTAACATTACCCTCAATTTTCTCATATCTGTGCCCATTCCCCTTATCTTCTTCTCGTACTTGCTCGACAAGGTCGTAAAAGTGCCTTGTGTGGACTCTCTGTGTTTGCAGAACCAAGATTGAATAATTTGTCTCAATAAATCTAACAAAGCTAAAATAGGGTAGTTCTTGGCAAACTTTGTAACCGCATTAATTGACTCCACGATATTTGATGTCATTGTAGAATATCGATTCGAAGGCATGTGGAAACGTGACCATCTCTCAGGTCCAACACCGTCCAGCAAACAAAAAACATGGAGACATATATCACCTAGTGTACAATATCATAATAAATGTATTTAAATGAATATAGATTAGTATAATACCAGGTAATCTCTTATCTTCTCATTTATCAAGTCAAGCTGTTGCATTTGATATTCATATTCCGATAATGTGTAAGCGCGAACAGTTGCATTAAATGCTTTGGTTATATTTTGACCCAATCTTCTATAATGTGATTTCAGATTTTATAGGAGATGGTACGAATATATTTCGTGACAAGTTCCTGGATACACAATCTCAATTGCATTTTTGATGATGTTATGACGATCTGATACAAAGCACAATCCTTCTATGTCCCCATAAGATTTTTTCAATTGTTTAAAAAAACATGATCAAGAGCTGTCATTTTCGTTATCCCCAATCTCGAAAACAAATACAAATATGTTGTTATTTGCATCTTGAGTACATGCAGTGAATAAGGTCCCACCATAGTGTCCATTTAGATATGTGCCATCAATTACAACAACCGGCCTACAATATTTCCATCCCCATATTGATGCACCTAGTGCCATGAAACAATATTTAAACCTATTGTGACCATCAATTTCTAGGCTTGCGACTGTACTAGGATTTGTCTGCTACAACATGGAAAAGAATCCTGATAGTTTATTGAACGAATAAGTTGGATCACCCCTTAGCATTTTCAAAGTTTGCTCCCGAGATTGTCAGTCTTGGACATAGTTCTATGATACCCCATAGCTATGCAACATGTTGTTGCATATATCATTCGGTGTGTATATAGTGCACGACAATTCGTAATTGTACTTAATACATGTTGACCCAACTGTCTTTGTTACTTACCTATGAGTACTGAGTATGATGTTCACAACACATGTGTGACCTTCTGCAATATGCATAATTTTAAACATATCTGTTTTGGCTAACTTCTAACCTCTACATATCAACCTACACTCGTCACGTGAACATTTGACAAGATATTCTTTCTTATCTGATCAAACGACCATATATTCAAACATATGTTGTATTGCATAAAGCGACAAGCTCAATTTCATAATCTCCTTGTTACAAAAAATCTTCCTTCCACTACCTCACTAGCATCTAAGACCACCACAACTGTGCCCTCATCTTCAAAATTATCACTTGATGGCTCCCCTATTTCTCCACATATATTTGATGTCATAACCTTCCTCTACCTCCCTAGCATCTATGACCACCACAACTGTGACCTCATCTTCAAAATTATCACTTGATGGCTCCACTATTTCTCCACATATATTTGATGTCATATCCGTTAATGAAAAGCCATGCTCTTTGGATGGACCAACAACTGATACCGCGATAGGCTGTTTTTGGCTATTTGCAACTGTGACCTCAATATGTATTGGATATTTGGAAGGATCATGATCCATATCTTTCAAAGTCATGTATGACAACACATTATTGTCATTCTTGATTATTATTGAAGGCAGATCACTATTCAATATATATTTCATTGTCACAGCCACCTTTGCAGGGTCTAAACCAAACTCAGTCATTATTGTATCAACAAGCTTCGTATACCCGCAATTCCGATCAATCAACACTAACGACATTTGTGAGACATTCAACAAACAAACGTGAATGAATCCCATATCTGTAAAATGAACAGAAACATAATCAGTATGTCATTCATTGACTACTCGCAGGCACAATTACAGTATGTCACTGGTCATTCTATAAAATTCACTGGTTACAAGTGCATTAAGTCACGGATCACACATATAATAGGTCACAAGTCATGCATAATTCACAGGTCACACGTACAGTGGGTTACAAATGTGTTTCACATAAGAGTCATATATGCAGAGGTCACATGTTGATTACATGCAAGTCACAATTGCAGTATGTCACAAGTCATTCTATAAAAGTCACTGGTTATACATGCATTAAGTCACAGGTCACACACATAGTAGGTCACAAGTCATGCATAAATCACAGGTCACACGCACAGTGGGTCGCAAATGTGTTTCAAATAAGAATCATATATGCAGAGGTAACACATTGATTACATGCAGGTCACAATTGCAGTATGTCACATGCCATTCTATAGAAGTCACTGGTTACATGTGTATTAAGTCACAGGTCACACATATAGTAGGTCATAGGTCATGCATATATCACAGGTCACACGTACAGTGGGTCACAAATGTGTTTCACATAAGAATCATATATGCAGAAGAAACAAACATGGTTACAGGTATAAAATATGTTCACACAATAGTATTCAATGGTCACAGACCACATGTTATTGGTCACAAATCCTAATGCATGTGTCACAGTTCATATTACGATTACAAAGTCAAATTTCATACAACCTTATTTTGTATGTGTCATGTAATATACGGATACACATCCTTACGCATGTGTCGCATAATGTATGGACATAGTTCATGCCTAGGAAGTAGGAAGAAACGTCTAATTAGATTTAATTGATCATAAATACATACCTGATCGTTCTGAATTCAATTTCAAATGACGAATCGTAGATTATTGCGGTGTACTGTGACTGTGTCTGCAAATCGCGACCTGAAATGTACGATTACTGTCAGCTGAGAGAGCTTCGAGGACAATATGAAGGCAATTTCAGATCTTTGTGGCTTTACTCTCAGCTGGATGGACGAATTGTAATGTATGGAGAGTTCCGGCTATTTTTGGTAAGTGACACTGATTTTGTGTGATTCTGTCCTTATTTTTTTCAAATAAATTAGTATATATATATTTTTAGATGGATATCTGATTTTGGAAATTTCATACTTATTTTCTTATTTTTGAAATAGGCCGAACTTATTCTCTTGAATATGTAATATTCCCAATTTCTATTATTTTCTGATGAGTTGTTGAAAAAAAAAAA